AGGCGCTGCAGGCCAGGCCCTGGTCTGAGACCGCCGGGAGGTTGTCGGGGCTGTGGTTACCCAGCCCGGGCACCGGCCCCGCTGGTGAAGGCCGCCATTGGTGCCCGCGGGAAGCGGGGGAGGGCACCTGCGTTTGTCAGGAAATAAAGGGAGTTATGCCCCGTGGTGGCTAGCAATGGGGACTGGATCTTACTAGTGTGTGTAGGTGTATGGCGGGGAGGGAGCGAAGAAGATGGAGCCAGGCCCTTGTCAGTGGTGGCTAGCACCGGGACAGGAGGCAGCAGGCACAGGCCGAAAGGTAGGAGCGCGCTTCGGAACCTCAGGAAGCACCAGTGTGAGGGTGCCTGAGCACTGACATAGGTTGTCCAGGTTGGCTGTGGAGTCTCCATCCTTGGAAAGATTCAAAACACACTTGGACACAGGCCCTGCAGGAGCAGGGGATTGGGCCAGATGACCTCCAGAGGCCCCTTCCAACCTCAACCCTTCTGTGATAACAAGCTCGTGAGTCGGTGAGAGTATAACCCACATTAAATTGCCATTACCTCAGAGAAGAAAACTAACTTGCCATTTGTAACAGCTGTTATAATGAGCACAGGAGCGGTTGATACATTGTAGAGAAACAAAACTACTTTGCTCCGCAGTTCTGACTTCATATTTTACATTAATACAAGTTGCAGTATGAGTTTTGAACAGTAAACCAGAGTAGCAGCAGTTTTGTGGCGTAATTCCCATGCTTTTGCATGATACTTACAAGCTCTGATCCGGGGGCATACCACAGAGTATGCAACAAGTGCAGTAAAAACTCCAGTGAGACAGTTTGTCAGTCATCCAGCAAATCCTGAAATCCTGTTTTCTGTGTCTTCCATTTTGTGCCATGAAATATGGGTGAATTTTGGACAAAATGTGTGTAATACTTGAAGTTAAAGCTATTAAAATTAAAGAGAGCTATTAAAGGGGGCTTGAGGGGCTCACTGAGCCAGGGGAACCCAAGGAAGAGCAGAGAGACCTGCCAGGGGCCAGAAGCTCCCATGAGCCAGGCTGGCATGTCTTGTCTGTTCTAACTGTTGGAGATTTAAACACAGCAAAACCAAAAGCAAGTCAGTCAGTGAGGAATGAGTTAACTCTGAGAAACGTTTAGATTGAGTATTAGGAAAAATGTCTTCTCCAAAAGGGCTGTCAGGCATTGGAAGGGGCTGCCCAGGGAGGTGGTGGTGACTGCCACCAGCCCTGGAGGTATTTGAGACGTGGACGAGGTGGTGAAGGACATGGTTCATTAGTGGTGTTGGCAGTGTTAGCTTGGACTTGATGGTCTTAAAGATCTTTTCAAATCTAAAAGATTCTGTGATGATTCTGTTACCTTGGGTAAAAAAACAGGAGACATAATGCAATAGACATTATTTCAGGACAGTAAAAAGACCATTATCATAGGAAGTGTTTGTAGTTACACTTTTAAAATAATGTGACCTCATTTTTTGTGTCTTTTTTTTTTTTGCCAGTATCTCCTAATCAGCTAAAATGGTTTTAAAAAAGAAGAAGGAAATCCAGGTAGATGCATTCTTTCTTCGGCAGCAGCAGCTTGAAAAACTTCAGAGTAAGTGGGGTGTTTATTTCTGAAGGAATGTTGGTAGTTTCTTTTTCTCTTAGTGAAATGTGTTTGAGTAGGTACTGAAATTGATTTGTTTGGGTTTTTCTTTTTATGTTTTATTTCTTGGGTTTTTGTTTTGTGGGTTTTAGGTGGTGTTTGCTGTTTTGTGGTTTGTTTTTATTTTGACTTCTTACCTCGGCAGGGTTAAAAGAATCCTTCAGAGCGCCATGTCTTTGGTTTGAAAGCTCTTTGCTCCGTCTTATTGTTGGGATGAAGACAGTAGGATGTCCTACTTGTGATCCCACTTGTAGGCCTGTAATTCAGTGCTACCTGAAGTACCAGCTTTAATATGTGGGATAACAGGGAATTTCAAAGAATCACAGACTGGTTGAGGTTGGGAGGTATCTTTGGAGATCTTTTGGGTGTATTTTTCCAGTCTTTGTGTTTTCTGTAGTTAACTTGATTCGAAGATACTGTTCAAATGCTCTTTTGTAGGCTTGGGGTTTTTTTTGTTGTTGTGTTGCTGTTGCTGTTTGATAAGAGAAATTTCCAGTGATCTTTACTTTAAAAAGACCCTACAAAACCAAGTAATACAAGATGTGTGTAGCGAAGTCACTATGAGATGCTCCGTGCCTTCTGGTCAGCACTGGTGAAGCCACACCTGGAGTGCTGCATCCGGTTATGGGCTCCCCAGGACGAGATATGCAAATACTGGAGAGTCCAGCGAAGGGCCACTAAGACCCTGGAGTATCCCTCCTGTGATGAAAGGCTGAGAGAACTGGGACTTTTTAGCCGGGTGAAGAGAAGGCTCAGGGGGATCATACCAGTGTGTAAAAAATACCTGAAAGGAGGGCGTAAAGAAGACAGAGCCCGGCTTGTTTCCATGTTGAGCAGTGATGGGACAGGAGGTGATGGACACAAACTGGAACACAAGAGGGTCCCATTAAAACTTCTATTATTTTTTATTTTCTATTTGTTAGGAAAAAAACCAAAAGGTGTTGGTTGTAAGGTGACTTAAGGGATTGTGGCACCAGTAGGTTTACTGGAAGAGGAAAAGTAAGGATTAAGTAGTGATTTCTTAATATGAATGATGATGATGTTTATACTGCTTATTGTAATTCCTTTCTAAAAAGAAATTCTTCTTCCAAATGTAGGGTTTTCAAAGGCTGATGAGCAAAACTTGGCATCTCTGCTTCTGCACTGCGCACAGCTGAGGAATGGCATCCAGCAGATCCAGTGTATTAAACAAGTGAGGCTTCACTGTTGTTAGTGTGGGTTTTGGTAACTGGCAGTGCATTGTTCACCATTAAGGGGGAATACAATTCCAAAATAAGCTCTATGAAGTTTTAAATATTCCTGGAAACAGGTAAAAGCAGCTGTTACTGTGGCACATGCTTTAGGTAGAAATGTAGTTCTGGTACTTAAATTAGCAAGGGCTACAGTTACTGAAAATAATGGAAGATGGGAATTGATACCAAGTTCCCTATTTTCTATGTATGTATCAGAGCATGTATGCATTTTCTATGAAGATATTTTGGCCTCAGAGATGTTCTTGGAATGTTATTCGACACCTGAAACTCAACAGGATATGGTAAAGAGAGGACAGTTTTTTGCACCATATACTTACTTGGATGAGGGGGAGTTCTGCCTCTGTTAATGATGAGGGTATATCCAGAGTTTTTGTTGATTGTGTATTCTCTTGGTTATAGATTATGCCATTGGTAAAGAAGATGGATCAAAACTCTGCATGTGATCCCATGGTTAAAGCTTGTTTGGATATTTTGGGGCAGATATATTTTTCACTGGGTACCAAGAACCCCTTGAAAAAAGTATTGGCAAGGTAAAAAATTGAAATGCTCTCCTTACCTAGAGGTTAGTAGTTTGTCATGCACTACAAACTGATGTAGTTTAGTTACTGAAAATCTCTGCTACTCATAGGTGAATATGTACTGTTTTTCTTTCTTGCTTAATTAAATACCTTAATTACAAATAATACAATATATTACTGGATAAATAACTGCAAAGTGAAGTATCTTTTGATCTGTTTCATTAGTAGAAAGACAGCATGGTGTGTAATTAGTACTTTGAATTTTAAAATCCAGTATTAGAGTAGAAATTTAAAATACTTGTGTTAAAAAAAACCCTAAAATCTCAACTTTGACAATGTAAAGAGAAGGCTGTTCAGAGGAATCATAACTATGCTGTGGTATCTTGTGCCTATTTTTATTGCAATTAAATTTTTCTGTTGCAGAATTACTGTTGTATTTCTTCAGTGAACAGCCTTAACACTTTTCAGATCCAGTGCTTAGGTGTCTTCCTTTCTGTGTCCGAAAACATTTGTCTTACTGAGAGAAGCAGGGCTTCCATCATGTATTTGGTTGTATGCCAGAACTTTACACCCCTTTGATGGGTTTTCTAGCAGCAAAATTAGAATGTGTGTGTTTATTTTAAAACAGATTAGGTTTTCATGCCAGGAGTGACGTCTACTACTGGAGTTTTAGCTGGTATTGACTTTAGTCAGGTGGATATTTCACACCTCAGCGTGGGCTAACTGACGGTGCTCTTTCTTACTGTTGCAGTTCACTAAACAGTCTTCCTGAACAGTTTATGATGTCAGCTGTACAAAGCTTTGTATCCTGCCTTCGGGAAGAATTGAAAACCACAGACGTGTATTTGTACAGGAAAGTACTGGATAACCTTGCTTCCTGTATGGAAGACTTCAGCTTAGGTACGGTGATATTGGCTGTTTTGTCTTCTGTTTTAACTTGCTCCCCTTCGGTTTGCATCTCGCTGCAGCACCTAATAGTAATGTTTGTCTTTATCTATGCAAAATAGATAGTATTGGTTAGTATTCAGTACTTAAAATGTATTTTCTTTCCTCTAGGTAGAGCAAGTGTTAAGAACCTATATGAAGAAGGTAAAGTTATATTTATAGTAAAAAAAGTTTCACTGTAGATTACTGGGGGCAGGGTTGTGTGTGGAGAAGTAACATGAGGTAGGCATAAAGATTTATCAGATCTGATTTCCTCCTGGTTAATTTGTAATAATTAGTACCTTCACACGGTATTTTTTGGGGCAAAGACTTTCCCTTAATTTGTACCCTTAATTTCTAGGGGTCAATCTTGCTTTGTTGAGCAGCCCTAGATAGAAACCTGAAAAGGTACTAGTGAATGAGTCCTAAAGGGCTGGGGGAGTTGATGCTACTTTACGTGACATAATCTCTGTCCTGTGCCTCGTGATGAGGTTGGCTGTGGTAACACTGGGCTGTTAGCAGCCAGTTTTGACTATAGCAAGTCCAGGGCTTCTGTGGCAAGAATTCTGTGTTGGGTATGATGTGTATGTGTGATTGCTTTGCTGGAATTTTTCTGTTCTGTTTCTCTTTTAAATAAATTGATACCATAATTATTTTCACTAGTTCTTCAGTTTCTGCAGAAGTCACTCCTTGACATACAGGAAGAAAACAGGCAAGTGAATTCAGTATAAACTGTATTTTATCTGTTTTCATTTCACTCATGCAAGATAATCTCGTATGGTTTGGAATATCACTTTGATAGCCATGCATTGATGAAAGATGGGAATGTCATTTTACAATTATACATATTTTAAATTTAGAAAAGCTGCTGATTAGTTTTGTTTCTTTTTTGAAACATGATGATATAAAATAAGAGAGGAAAGGAAGAAAACTAAAGGTGGTAATATTTAAGGCACTCATGCTGCGTTAGAGCTAGTACTTTTAAGGGAGGCCTTTGAGTTGTGGTTTTGCTATCTAAATTCGTGAGTGAACACTGTAAATAATAGATACACTTATTGAAATTCAAGTAGAGTAAAACTCTTCCACTTTCCATGAGTGTTTAATTCAGTACTGATACTCTGTTTAGTCTGTCACAACAGTCATCATGTAATATCTTGCTGTTTTCCAGCATTGCATGAAGTGAAGCCTCTTCCCTGCGGTATCTCACTGTATACTCAGAGCAGAAGGGTGCTTAATGGAGTGTTTTGTGCATCAAAAGTTTACATGTTGTCTGTCTTCATGTTAGAATAAAGTAAAATCGTAGAAATACGTGTTGCGCATGGAGGAACTGCTTGACAAATGAGAAGGGAGCAGTGCTGTGTTGAGTTGGTCTTTTTGAAAAGTTTCTGGAAAAGTTCAGCTCTGCTCAGACAAAACCAAACAAGTGAAAGTTTATCAGAGAAACTGCAGTAGGATTTGTCGTGATGTTTGTTAACTTTGTTATAAAACACCACTCTTGAGTCTGCTTCTTGTTTTCCTCTAGTTACCATTAATCCTATCTGAAGTTGGCAGAATGGTGTTTTCTGGGGATGGTGAAGAATGTTTTTAATTTCATTTTTGTGTGTATGTCTTTTCCCCCTCCTCCCAGAAAGAATAATGGAAATCGTATTGTTCAGACCCAGCTGATGCACGATTTACTGGTAGCCATTAAGGTTTCAATGATGCTTGTACAGAAGTTACAAGAAAATATCCAGGGAAGTCTTTGGAAACACCATGAGTCTTCTTTTGTTTGGCAAAGCATGTGTAGTTTACTGAAAAGCTCCACAAACTTCCTAGTGGATGGTAGGTTTAGTAACACTCCAACCCAGATATTTTTATTGATTTGGTCTTGTTGTCTTTGTAGTAAACACAACTTGTATGTATAAAAAATTACTTTGCCTTGAGTGGAAATGGAACTGCTGAGACTAATGGGAGTGGGGGCAGTAGTAGGTCTGTGTAGTAAGAGCTGTGGTTCGTAGATCATAACTTTGGAGTTTACAGTTTAACAGTTTGTATATCTGTATGAATTACGCTGTCACAGCTGTTTATGGGGGTGCACTGTAACTAAATGTGTTTACTTTCTATGCAGATGTTTTTGTACAGTGGAATTTAATATAAATGTCAGTAGGCTCTGCCACAGTCATCCTTCTTTTACTGGGCAGTTCTATATTTTTTATCTGTTAAAAAGTAGTAATAGTTTCCTGTTATATTAGAGTATAAATGCATTGAAACTTGCAATCCAGACGGACACTGCGGATTTGTGACTATACACCTATAATTAGTCTATGAAAATTTGATACCACCTTTGTAATTTCCATACATAGGCATAGCACACAATGTTTGCTGCACTCTGTAAAGTATCTTTCTCTGCCTTGTAGAAACTCTTCTGCAAACTGTGCAGACTACCTCAGGGCTGGCCGTTATTCTCTTTGTTAAAGCTATGTATGAGCCAGTTGAAGAATTACCTTCCTTGGTAAGTGTTTTTCTTCACTGAACACAGTGAAATGTCATGTTGTTAGGCTGTGCCACCGGTGTTGTTCAGAGGCTTTGCTGATACAGGTAGCGGGACCAGCCAACCTCTGTGTCAGTCTTTGTCTGTAGTGTAAATTCTTTATTCTGTCCTTGCTGTATGAAATGATAGAACAGGGTTTTGAATTGTGAAGAACAATGTAGAAGAAATCTCTTCTGATCTTGTAAGAGTTGCACACAGAATAGCTTTGCTCCTGTGCTGAGGTCCTGTAACGGTGTTATTTTGCTATTATAGGTCAGTGACTTGCTTCTTGGGTCGACGAAACACACCGGTGTGCCGGCGTGGTTTGTGAGTAACTGTGGGGCTCTGTGTACAGAAGAGCTCCCTGACTCAGTCCTGCTCTTTCTTTGCCATGGAGCACTGGCTATGCTGGAATGGAAGAATGGCAGCATGGGGGAAAATGGAGAGAAACTGTTATTGGATATCGTATCAGTCTTGCTGTCTTTGAGTTCAGAGTAAGCCTGTGTTTTGATTTGTACCATTTCATGTTTGGGGGGTCTTTTTACTTGTATTTTTGCACGGCTCATGTGCGCCTGGTGGAATATATCTGTGATGCTTTTGGTGGAATTACATTAGTTTTTGTCACAGGTCGTGTTGTCTTTAAATATATTCAGGGTAACTCCATAAAACATGCCTTCATATTGCATAGGCAGTTCTAAGTTACAGTTTTCTCTTGCATGCTAGAATGAAATGCTGCTTTTCCAGCCTAAGTGGGATTAGTGTACCGAGTACTTGGTGTTAAGGTATGGCAGCATTTGTTGTTATGTTAGACAGATAACCTTTAGTTTCAGGACGTCACCTCCTATGTACAGAAGAAAATAAAGTGTGCCAATGAATGGAATAGCTGAAGTAAGAGGAGTTTAAATTTCTTTCTGGTTGCAAGCATTGATTGGTTGCATCTGGTGAACTGTCGGAACTACTGGATTAGGAATCATAGAATCACAGAATGGTTTGGGTTGGAAGGGACCTTAAAGGTCATCTAGTTCCAACCCCCCTGCCATGGGCAGGGACACCTTCCACTAGACCAGGTTGCTCAAAGCCTCATCCACCATGGCCTTGAACGCTCCCAGGGATGGGGCATCCACAGCTTCTCTGGGCAACCTGTTCCAGTGCCTCATCACCCTCTCTGGGAATAACTTCTTCCTGATATCCAATCTAAACCTCCCCACTTTCAATTTAAGCCAGTTCCCCCTTGTCCTGTCACTACAGACCCTTGTAAAAAGTCTCCCCCAGCTTCCTTGTCGCCCCCTTCAGGTACTGGAAGGTGCTGTAAGGTCTCCAATTTCCAATAAGGAAATTAAAACGTGTATTCAGTTCGACCTGTGTTCCAGCCTTGGGGTCAGTTTTGTGGTTTTCTAGTACTCGGCTTTTATGGTTTTATATGGCAATGGTAAGTTTTCCTTACCATTGAAGCATGCAGTAGTGCAATGTTGGTCAGATACTAGCATGTGGATATTAATCTTTAATTTTTGTTATTAAAAAGCAAGTGCCGTGGCTTGTCAGGTTTCTTTTCTCCGTGTATGTGTGGCTTTCACAGTGACCAGTTAACAACAGGTAGGTGACTGAGCATACAATTGGCAACATGGAATTCATCACCTCCTTTTTGTGTTAGTTCCCTTTTCTTCAGTGAATGATTAGTGTCCACTTTCCCATTTAGTGTGATGTAAACAAATGTGATGAATAATTCTTCTGAAATATTTTTTTTAAAGAAATGCAAATAATATTTAATTTTTTTAAATTCTTTTTTTTAAAAGGTTAAAAGAATCCAGTATGGCAACATCTTTATCTAGAATCCTTGCTATTTGGACTAACTCGGCACTAGCTGCCCTGGTTTCAGGCTCCCCAAGTTTAAAAATCAAACTTAATGGGAACTCGGATGCAATTGGGAAGCTGCTGGAATACATTTATACACACTGGGAGCACCCTCTGGATGCTGTTAGACACCAAACCAAGCTGATATTCAAGAATCTTCTTGGGATACACCGAACCACCATCACTGACCCCAATGAAAAGTCAGACCCGTTCTTTGCAAGGCTGACAAAGCGATTACTGAGCTTGGAGTGGCACGTGAAAGGGAAATACGCTTCTCTTGGCTGTCTCGTGGAGTGTGTGGGCACTGAAAACATACTGCAGTTGGACGGAACAATTCCAGCACAGATCTTGGATGTGATGAACGATCAGTCTCTTGCACCCTATGCCAGTGATCTTTTGGAAACCATGTTTACGAATCACAAGGCCCGATTTACTTCGAGTTCTCAAGAAAGCGCCTGGATTGACCAGTGGCATGACATCTGGGTTTCTCCCCTTCTTGTAATACTGTGTGAAGGGAACCAAGACCAGACTACTTACATAATAGATTACTATTTACCAAGATTGCTCCGATGTAGCCCTGAGAGTCTGAGCTATATGATCAGGATTCTTCAGACTTCTGCAGATGCTAATCTCGGTAAGAAAATAAATATTGTATTTGTAACTGTGAGTGTTAAAAAAAATCATAGAAATATGATTTCTGATCTGTTATTCTTGTTGGATTTTTTTTTCTCCCAAATTCTAAATGGTTATTATTGTTGTTAGTATTTCAAGGTGGAATTCATAGTAATCATGTGTGACTTCATGCCATGAGCAAAATAATTGGTATTCTAAGTGTGGGTGCCTTGTTCTCTTCATGTGTCAAGATTTGTTACACACTGGTATTTTTTTTTCCACTATTTTTCCTGTTCTACCATAATTTCTTACTCGGGCATGTCCAATAACAGGGCTTTACCGATTGCAAATATGTGGATACAGGATTTAATGATTTTCTTGTCGTTTTTGACATAATTGAATGTTATTCCAAAATAATGGCTCGTGAGGCGTCACAAGACCCTTTTTTTCCACAGGACATGTTAAAGAAGCAGCTTTTTGGGAGCCAGGCAATTTAGAACTAGTTGAATCTATGGCAAACTGTCTTTTGGGGTTTATGGGGTAGAAAAGGAAAGGGGAGGTTAAGGGTCACGTGTTGGAAGTACGGGGAGTTTCTGGCAAGCATCTTGACTAGTACATTGTTTGTTGTGTTAATCAAACTATTAATTATTAGTGATTTTTGTTTTCTGTAGGCTCTTGCAGGACTAGAGGAGCTCTTGGAGCACTGATGGCATGCCTGAGAACAGCCCGGGCTCATGGACACCTGGAACTTTCAAATATCATGAGCAGTGGTCTTGTTTCCACAGAATGTATAAAACAGGGTCTAGTTCATCAGCACAATCAGGTAGAGGGACACCCTTTCTTTGTTTCTTTACATTAGAATAATTGCTTCATTCCTAAATGCTGTGCTGTCATTGTTTTAAACCAGAGGTAATATCTAACTCTTCTGTGGTTAACATCTTTCTAAACATTTTTCAGGTTTGCATTGATGCTTTAGGTTTGCTGTGTGAAACCCACCGTAGCACGGAAATTGTGTCTGTGGAAGAAATGCAACTAATTCAGTTTTTCATGATGTACAACTTGAACAGCCAGTCTCCCTCAGTGAGGCAACAGATATGTTCTTTACTGAGAAAGGTAAGTTAAAACTATAAACAATTCTTACTTCATTAGTTATGTAGCATTTAAAAAGCTGATTCTGAGTATGTTAGGAAGTTGCTCATCTAAAAGAGCAGGAGCTCTTTCTAAGCTCTTTTCAGCTCTTTCTGAGACCAGGACTGTGTTGTGTGTGTTGTGCAACTGAATGATAAGTCATGGCAAGCAAGGATGGCTTAAACAAAAAATGAAGCGATAGGCACTGTAACTTGATCACCAGTGGTAGTGTTACTTAGCCCGTCGGCATATGCATCCTTCAGCAGTAGCAAAGCAATCTGCCACAGAGCTGCCCTTGCTGTGGACTAAGAGTGTGCTTACATAGACTTACCAGACCTCAGGGTAATTCACAGTCACCTGATCAGCCTCAGCAACCTGACTCGGAACACAAAGTAGAGGAGAGTGAAGGGAACGGCACGACATAGGGCTGTGCTGTTACAGTCTGCAGGGACCGAGTGTGTCAGTATGGGGGAAGTTGCCATGGTCATGTATGGGGGATCATGGTAGAAAAGTACGGATAAAATGAGGAAAGCGTGTGTGCATGAAGAACGTTTTGGGAGATGTTGATGGCAAAAGAAAGCAGTGTGGAAGGAGAAGATAGTTAATTAGAGATGGGGGAAAAATGAGGGAATAGGTTTGGCAGAAGCAGAAGAGCAGAAGTCTGTGTCTTTCCATTCTTGTCTGGTGCGGACCGAGGAGTATGAGACGGAAAAATTGTGTGTGTGGGGATGTAATAAGAAAGGAAATATTACTAGTGGGTAATAAAAGAGCTGAGGAAGCACTCCTGATGTGAGTCAAACTCTGTAAGAGACACTGAAACTATAAAAATCATGCATTAATTGATTTTTTTAATCTTTTTAGAGGTTCTTGTAGGGAGGTGGGAGGAGAAGACTAGGGATGAGTTTAAGGAGGAAGATGGGAGAAGGTGTTGGAGGTGCAGAGAGCGGGGAAGAAGGTTGATCCAAGAGAAATGAGGAGCAAAAAACTTTGGAGAGAGATGGATCTGTTCTATGCTACACTGTTTGCAAGGCTTTTGAAAATTACAAGCAGTGCAATCTGGAAATTAAGCTGAAAATGTCCCTTTCCCTTATTTATCTGTCAATGACTTTGCCTTACCTTTGTTTTCATTTGTTTGTAAAAGTTATTTTGTAGGATACAAGAAAGTTCCCAGGTGCTTTATAAATTGGAGCACAATAAAACCAAGCTGGACTTACTTGAAATCTCAACTGAAAGGCATCCTTTGGGGATTTTGCAGCAATATAAAGTAAGTTAGAGTGCTAGAGATACAGATGGTAAGAGGCGGGATAGCATTTCCTGAAAGACAGGGAATTGTTCTAACACCTCTGGCTAAGTTAGGCTGTGTCCGTGTTAGGAAACGGTGCCCTGCAGGAGGAAGAATCCTGTACAGCAAAACAGTGCTGAGGACCTTGTCTGCTCTGTACACGCCTATGCAAGTTAATTTCGACTCAGATGTACCGTTTCTCGTGAACGGAGTGCCCATGAGTACGTGGAGGATATCATTAAGTTTAATTTTGCCTGCAAGCAATCAAGTTTGTTTTCTGAGGGAGTGCTCCATGGTGTGAACTGGAACAGCACTAAGTGGGGAATGACTGGAGGGGCACCCCCAGCCTGAACTAAAGATTTCAGGTAAATGTCCTGTCACTGCTGGCAGTTTAGGGCCAAGTTTTAAAACTGCGCATTACTTGGGCTTGAAGCAGAAATCCCTTGAGCTCCAGCCTTTTTCTGTCTCTTCAGAATGATCAGTCAGTGAATGAATGACAGAGTTTCAGCACAAAGATTTAAGTATGAAGACTTCTTTTGTCTTTGTCCTTTTTCATATCTGAAGGCTGACATAATCAGTTTGTGTTAAACTGTTTCTTGTGTGGAATTCCGCTTTTCTTGTTCAACTCCTTTTCAAGGTTTTGATAACAATGGCCATCTTTTTCTGGGAGTGGGGAAGGGAAACTTTTTTTTTTTAAACCCCAACAACTGTCCAGCCTTCATTGTACTCTGTAAAACAAGAAATTTGTCAGTGCTGCTAAGATATGCCTCCCGTTCCTCCAAAATTAACTGGAAGATCATAATTTTGTGGGTAACATGTAAAGCAGAATGTCCTGAATTCAGTTACTTAGACTTTTGTTTGTAGGGCAGCAAGCAAACTGTCTTAAAATCTCTTTTGTGGTTTTTCAGGATTTCCTGTCATCTGTATGTGACAGACTTTTCGAGGCACTGTTTCCTGGGTCATCACATCCAACCAGATTTTCTGCACTAACTATTTTAAGATCAATCGCAGAAATATTTTCTGTTCAAAAAGGTGAGAAATCTAGTTTGCAGGCTGCACGAATGGGAGGTGTTGAAGAAAATTCTTTTATGCCAGCTATTTAATTTATGTCAAAGCAAAATGGTTTTCTTAGTCCTTCAGACCTTAGGCATTTCCTGTGTTGCTTTAATTGGATAGTTCATGATGTTGTGCTGCTGTTATTTTAAATTTTCTTCACAAAGTTATGACAGGCACAATTAAAGAAATATGAGTCGGAGTGTTTCTGGTCATGCTAAATCTTGTGTGTGGCTAAAACGGCCAACATAAGAATATGTTTCCAGTCTTATGACTTCTTATGGAGTTCAACAAGGCCAAG